TATATATATATATATATATATATAATATATATATATATATAATATATATATATATATATATGAATGTTTTACATAAAATTTTACATTTTGTCCTTCTTGAAGTAAAAAAGTAAAGGGAAATTTATTTAAAACATTAATATAAACTAAACGTTGAAAAAAAAACTAAATAATTATCCTAAACAAAAGAAAAAACTAGTGCAAATGGTGATCTCTATACAAGAGGTACTCACAAAAGTTCCCATATTGTAAGAGCAAATGCAAACCGAATGACAAACATAAAAATACAACACAAATGACAAGAAAAATAAGATTATTATTATTATTATTATTATTATTATTATTATTATTATTATATATATATATATATAATATATATATAATATATATAATTATTTTATCTTTTTATCGTAATTAAATAATTTAATTTCCACCATAGATAATTCAATCTCTTATTATGACATTCAAACAAATTTTCACATAAAAATTAATATAACACAAGAAAAGATAAGAAAATATGTAAATTAAATTATTGAAACTCAATTTTGGATTTAATGCCTCCATATTAGCCAGTGAGATTCAATATTATTATTATTATTATTATTATTATTATTATTAAAAACTGTAATTGTAATTAAATTTAATCTTTGTTAACTATATATTTTATTCTATCCTAGTTTATGCCTGCCTTTTTTTTAACTAATACTACCAATATATAAATATTCTGTAAAGAGTCAAATCCTTGTTTTAGCTAAAACAATAATAAATTCGTTTTTTTTCGTACAATTTTGTTTTTTATAAATTGTAATTGCATCTTTCATCACTAAATTTTTAAATTTAATCTGACTTTTTTAAGTAATCACTTATTTAAGGAATAGATGGAATTTGATTATATTAAAATAACAAAAAATTACTTATTTTAAAAATAAGCATATCAGATAAATACATAAAAAAAGCTTAAATTTGTTTTTTAATATGATATCAAATTTTTAACACTAAATGATTTTTTTTTAGAAATAAAATTATTCATTACTAAATCATACAATAAGATTCAGCAATAAAATATAAAAATGTTATCCAAATAAATATGCTAATATTTTCTATAAAACGGGTGATATATTAACTGTGAAAAAAAATCAAATTTATATATTAACTGCGAAAAAAAATCAAATTTAATATATAATTAAAATTTTATAAGAATCAAAACAAGAAATTAACAAAAACATATGGATAAAAAAGTTATGAAATTCTAAAATAATTGAAAACGTGACAGTAAAATTTGCTCAGACTCTGAAAATAATACTTAATGTTATGTTTGGATAAGAGAATTCTTTACAATTCTTTAAACAAATAATTGAATTTTTATTTGAAAACAAAATTAAAACATATTTTATTTATTTATAAAATAACTGAAATTTTCTTTTAAGATAAAATTCTATTTTAAAAACTTAAAATAATATTAGTTAAATTTGAATATTCAAATAATAATTAATATTTTCTTTAATGTATATGTATGTATAGAGAAAGTAAGAAATTTTAATTTTTTTAAGTGAGTTTTAAATTTTATTGTTTTAATTATTTAAAGTATTATCTTAAAATTCTTTAATTTTAATTTATTCATTCAAATAACTCATTTTACTCTATACAATTTTAAATTCATAAAAATACATTTTTTTTTAATTATCTCATTCAAATAAACTATAAATATTTTTTAATATGAAAAATGAATAAGGAATTCTAATGAAATAAAGATAAGCGTGAAGAACTTTTCTTTTAGAAATTTTGCGACTTTTAACCCAGATATTAAATAAAGTTGCATTTAAATAAATATTATAACTTGGTCAAACTTTAACTAAATTTTTCTTAAATAAATATTTTTTAAACAACAAATTATTTAAAAAGTAGATAGACTTTTATTCATTAAAAAAATGGCTTATTTTTAAAATAAGTAGATTGGACAAACATACAAAGAATAAAATCTGATTATTTTATTAAAAAAACACACAAACAAAATCATCCTGTTTTAACTTAATCAATTGTTAGGTTGTAAAAAAAATATTTTTGTAAAAGAAATATTTTACACTTAATTTTACAAGCTTTTTAAACGAGTCATATTATTACAAGTTAAAAATGAAGTTGTTTATCTTGATACATAAACCCATAAAGTAATAAAATGAAATATTTTTTATCTAATATGGTTTGACGATAAGCATTTTGTAAGAGATATAATGAAAACATAGTACACTTTTGTAACGGAAATTTTGTCGATTCCCTTTTGATGTTTTGTGACGGCAAACTACACATCTTTTCAATCTTTCATTAGTTGAACTTCAAACCTCTTCTTATTCATCTGTAACAAACCATTACCACTTTCCACTCAAAATATCAAATAACACTGTTACTATTCTCGTTAAGTTTTTATGAAGCAAGATCACATGATCAACAAAAGCCCACTGCTTTTTTTTTTTATTCCATTCTAACTGTCATAAAGTAAAAATATACACCAACTCGTTCTTCATCTACCAAAAACTGAATTCAATCTTTTAAATAACATTTTAAATCTAAATATATAGATAAAAAATAACCCAGGAATAAAATCTTACTGCAAGTATTCTAACTGTAAATACATATGATTCTCTTGTTCTGTTAATCTGACTATTTCTTAGATAAAATCAGTAAACTGCGGGGCATCCCTCTGTACCTTGGATTCTTCGTTTTTGTTCAACCACGAAGTTAAGTCTTTGATAATAAAACAAAAATATAGCTATTATTTCCAACCAAAAGAACTAAAAAGAAGAGAGAAATAACAGGAGCAATTGTTTTCCCCCAATATATCCTTCCGGTCATCACGCAACTAACTCCAGATTCACGTAAAGGAAACATATTGCAGCGTTTACATTGCTGTCATTTAACTCTTCTTCTCCAAATCCATTTCACCCAAAAGACAATGACCAAGAAAACCAAATGATTTATATTATTTTTTTCATCTGGAAGGACAGGTGAAACAGAACCAGAGCACAATAATGGAATTTAACTCTTTAGTACTTTCAAACCCCAAAGCTGTTGGTCCACAACCAATGAACCAAATCCCAAAAAACACTCCCAACTGGGTTTCTTTTGCAACTTCTAACTCAATACAGATACTTAACAGTGTTACTTAGCAACTCATCATGACCTTGAACAATGCTAAGACTGGTGTTAAATGTCATGTTAGTTGATGATCAGATTTTAATGGTTAGCCAGCACAATTCAGTGGCATGTATAACTCCAGAGTTAGGCACAACAGACAGTTGGTGAAAACATAAATTATGAGCTATCATTGTACCATCGAAAGCATTTGATCTAACAATGAACCCAATGTAATATTAATTCTCACCTACTATAAAAAAATCAAAATAATATACCAAAAGAGAAGACTTTACCCATGTAATGAGTTCATCAGTCATCAAATTGGGCATCTGAAACAACGCTGAGGTCGTCTTCTTCTTCCGGTGGAGCAGGGAAGTTGAGATCTATGAAGCTTTCTTTGAGACGGGTGGAATCATTGGCAGTGGAGGAGGAAGAAGGTACCATGTGAGATCTCTTGTGGCCACCCAGAGCTTGACCAGACCCAAATACCTTAGAACAAAAGGGGCATTCGAAGATTTTACTATCGTTGCCCGAACCTTCGCAAATGGTTCGGTGACTGCCCAATGCGCGCGAAGATCGAAACGTCTTCTGGCAACTCTGGCACTGGTGCTTCCGGCGAACTCTTCTGAACTTGATCTCTTCCGGTGATCTCTCTTCTTCGTCTTCCACGGGGTTGTTGTTGTCGACAGCAGCGTGGGTGTTCTTGCTCCAACGGTCTCTGGACAGCATCATGAGACACATGGCCACGTCTTCTTCGGGGGAAGTGTCGGAGACGGAGCTCACGGGCTCGGGGGACTCCATGAAGCTGAGTTTGGGCCGGGCCTTGGGTTGGGAATTGGCGGGCCTGCGTGGGCGCTTGGATCGTCGGCGGGTTGGGTTCTTTGACTCGGTCTCGCTCTCCCTGTCTTGCACGACGGCGCCGGAGTCGAACTCGGGATCTGCGAGCCTGAAACATTTCTTGGGATTCTCTCGCAAGGCGTAGTTGACGAGAGCCTTTTGTTGTTGTTCATTATGAGGGTCTTCTTCTATGTCTTGACGTGAAGATGAATTGGAAGAGAAAGTGTTAATAGATTGAGGAAGAGGTTGGGGTTTGGGAGGAAGAGGAAGAGTGGCTAAGTGAGCCTTCATGTGGCCACCGAGGGCTCTGCCATTGGCGAATGTTCTCGAACAGAGCTTGCATTTGTGGCGCTCCATCTCAATGCTCTCAGAGATACGTTTCGTTCGGTTTGGTTTGGTTTGGTTTTGGGGTATTTGGGAACTTAAAAAGGAGTAGGTAACAAGCATTCTTCCACCAATAGGACACACACGACCCAAAAGTTATGCTTCTGCATATGTGTCTATTATTATTCAATTAATAATATTTATATACACCTATATATATATATATATACATACATATACTGCGTATTTATATGAGCTGTGATTTGTGAAGCGTCAACACAACAAATTCCAACAGTGACATTCATTATTCGGTGGCAAAAACTAACAAAGTGTGATCGTGAACAGTGAAAAGAGCAGCAGCGAACATGCAAACCTTGCCCCTATGGAATAACTTTTTTTTTTCATTTACTGCTTTCTGTTTCTCAATCTCAAGAGGAACGTTTTTTTAGCTGCTAATACAAATTCACATAACTGTTATCAAACATATATTCATATATATTAATTTCAGAAAAAATAGGTTATGTGTGATATGCAACTCTCTGTAAATGGTTGGTATTCTGTTCCAAATTATAATAAATATTAGAAAAATATAATTTTAACAACTTTTTTACTACTAATTATTATGAGTCCCTTTCAAATATATATATATATATATATATATATATATATATATCAATAAAAAAATAATGATACATAATCTATGGTTAAAAAATTATTAATATATCGTGATCCTAAATATTATTATAATTGGTGCTTGGGACACTGTATCACTGTGCTTATGGAAACTTTTTCCTTTTTGTATATTTCACCGATTAGATATAAATGATCACTAATTATCAAAATCAGTTCGGCATACTTTTTTAAATATATATCAACAAACAATAAATCAAAATTAATTTGCATCTTAGAGGAATTTGGTCCAGTTTCTTAAATTTCAACCCATGTATTGCATCCTAATATTTGAAGTGGTAGAGTAGTTCTTTTGAAAAACAAATCGTATAAAATCAAATTATAAATGAGTTCACATTCACTTTATATGGTAAGTTTATTTTGTTTACAATCTATGTAAAATATTAACACATTTAAATTGGTGACATGGTAGACCTAATCGATAAATCTCATTATTATATTAGACTTATAAAGTGGATTTTAAACTTAAATTAATCCTATAATCAATATGTAAAACAATATTTATATCTTATTATATATTATAATTCTACCTTATATCTTATATATAATATCTACATAAAAAAACACTTTTTATAATAACATTCAATCACTTTTTTTAACATGCTACATTCATCAATTCTTACAACAATTATTTTAAATTTAACCGGTTGATGATATAATTTTGTTCACGAAAAGCTTGAGATTTCTAAACATATTTTAAAATTTTGATTATATATATATATATATATATATATATATATAATTATTGTTGTAAAATGTTGATAAAAAATAAAAAATCATGAAAAAAGTGCTATGTTACTACTCTACTATATTTATTATATTATTTGTTGATAAAAAGAAAATTGTATATAATTATTAAAGCTGAATAAAAACACTACAATATTATATCAACATTCCAAGATTTTATCTTAACTTTATTCTTGTCCATAGGTC